TCAAAAATGCGCCGAAGTTCGCGTGTTAAAGCAGCAGGAGCAGCCAAGATGTCCGCAGAGCAAGAGGCATCGTCTTCGCCAGAGAAGGAAAGGGAGACAAAACATGCTGTAAGATCCCCTGACAGCTCACCTATGACGAATGCCGCATTGTTTGACTCGCCTGCTCCAAGTTCGGTGGGAAGAATTACGCCGAAGTCTATGTCGAAGTCAAATGCACAGAGGACGCAGACTCACACGCCCCAGAAACGGTTGTCCCTTGGTGTTTGCGCAAGTTCGGACGACGAAGGGATTCTCGACCAACTCAAGGCCCCACCGTAGGTCGATTTGCAGTCCCGTCGACTCGATTGCGGTTTTCACTTTCACGTGTATAGGAAACGGACTTCGACAAAGTCACGAAAGAAAAGTTCCGTTCCCTTCGATAGCTTGGATGCACTCTTTGCTGAAAACAACAAGGAGTTAGAAAAGAAGCAAGTGCAGCAGGAGCGACTAGAACAACTGCGGAAAGAAGCTGAAGAGCGGTCCGAACAACACCAACAATGCAGTTCTCTCAAGCAAATGTCGTCCGAAATCGAAAATAACATCCAGGAACTCAAAGCAGACGAACACCTCTTCACCATTGAATGTCACGCCGAAGTCGAAGAATTCGGCTACGTATTCGAGCCCATCTCGGAGGTAGAACCCCCTTGCCCGTTCAACCCGTCAACACAAGTCGTTGCAGCCACTCGTGTATACCGCGTACAAGGCAACCGGAAGCAACTTAAGCAGTCCATTCAAACTCGTGTACGAGTGCATGTCGTTGACCGACGACATCGAGCTTGGGGAGTTTCTTTGGAGTCAAGCGATTCTTTTACTTGCAATTGAACTCAATACCGACGTCCCTGCCGACATTTGCAAGTGGCTCTTTACCGTGGGTATGTCAACAAGTCTTGCCCATCGCTATTACATAGAGTTGTCGTGGCGCTTGTCCTAGTGAGCTGCCACTCGAACCACCACGTTGTCCAAGGTGCTTTTATGAATCTGCTCACACTACTCCTGGCCGCACGGCCAAATCACACTCAAGTACGTCATCAATACAATTTCGAGAATCTTGCTTGAGTGTGGTGACACAGTAATGCGTGAGTTTTCCTTGACGTAGCTCATGTACGGATTACCCAAAGCCATGCTTTGCCGAAGTCGTTTGCTTCCCGTCAAGACGAAATGGCAAGCCACTATGAGCGATTTCTTTGTTTGCTTTCGCATGTATGGCTTCAAAGAGTCGAAACGCGGGCTGAACTCAAAGTCAAAAGCGACTGGCCACGCGACGACGTCCACATGGTCTGTTCCATTTCCCACTGTGAACGCGGAGCACATCACAATGCTGTTTGTGTTGGTGCTGCGTGCCAAGTCGTTGCAACTGAGCGAACATGACATTTGCTCGTGCTGCGTATTCTTCCTGCGCATGCAGTTCGAAGACATCCTACGCCCGCAACTGTGCGAATTGAGTTCTTACTGTATCGAAGTGCTCCTCGATGCGTTTTCGCCAAAGGAGTGGCGGAGGCAGTACGCCCGCCTTCTCATTCTCCGCATCGCCGGGATTAAAGAAGGTTTTTTCCAATCGTCAGCAGGGTGGCTGTCAATTGCGCGCCGACTGCCGCGCACTGAAAGAGGCACGCAGCTCACAACAGGGCTAGCTGTCTACATATTGCAATATCGACCCAGCAGCGACGACGACCAGGTTTGATTCGAGATGCATTACAGTTGCTGTTTGATTCAACTAAACCATGAACGAAGAGCTCATGTGAATGTCGTTTAGGCTGGGGAGACCGATTCGGACGAGCCGCTTAAGTTCCCCGTTCAGATCGATCTCGTGTTGGATATTGTGTCAACTAGTGTCGACTCGCTCACGGAAAAGTACGCAGCGACCGACGCAAGGGAGGTCGTGCCGCCTTACGATCTCATTTGCACCAAGATTGCTCTGATGGACTTGGCACTGCAAGCGTTTTTGAACCACTTGAAGCCATCCGACATGACTTTGATCCTGCAGAAGCTCGACATGCTCGCACTCGCCAACAAAGCCACCGTAGTTGTTCAGTGGCACGAGGTATACACATTCAATCCTTGCCTTCTATATGCACTTACATGTTGACGTCTGGGGGTCAGATGAAGACGCTCGTGACGTTGATGCACCGCAAGTACTCTGCCGAGAACCTCCGCATCGGTCGCGAACATTCGCCCAAGGCGAAACAAGTCTTGTTTATCGACGACTAACTAACTGATCCCGATCTGTTGAGATTCGTCGATTCGAACAACAAGACGGCGCCGTTTCACTCGTCGCATGAGGTTGCAT